TTGATCTACTTGCATTTTGACGTGCTTTCGAACTGCTAGGTTGGCAGGAGCAGGGACTAAGCAACGGGAGCTCACCCTGTTGTGGTGATTTGAACCACCGACCTTCTGATCAGCAAGCCCTAGGCTCTGTGGTTTAGACCACAGCACTACCCGTGAAGGCTAAGTGGCCTTAATTCAAAGACATTAAGTTAGAAAAAGTGCTGAATTGTGAAATTTGGAACCTAGGAAGTTGCCTTCTACCAAGTCCTGTCATTGGACCACCTAGCTTTGATACTTGCATTGTAGGGTATTGGAATAGGTGACACTCTAGGCCCCTTACAACTCTACAATTCTATGATTGTTTAGCTCACTGACTGGCAGTGGCTCTCGCAGGTTTCAGACAGGGATCTTTTCCAGTCTTATCTGGAGATGCCAGGGATGGAACATGGGGCCTTGTGCTGCAGATGTGCTCAAGTTCTGAGCTGCAGTTTCCCACCAAATTAGGCTAGGCTACATGAAAGATCCAAAAATCAGTACAGCATAAGAAGAAGTGCCTTTCTAGATCATCTAAACCAGTAGCCTGTTCTCACAAGGGCCAACCTGCAGGACCTGAGAACAAGAGCACTCTCCACTCCTGCAGTTTACAGCAACTGGTATTCAGAAACATTAGTGCCTCTCCTTGTGGAAGCAGAGAATAGCCATCATGGCTAGTAGCCTCAACCTCACAAACAAATCATCTTTGAACGCCATCTAAGCTAGCGATCATCATCAAGTTGGTCTTGTACTACCTTGAGCTAAAATCAATGCAAATGTGGTGTAAAAATTATGTTCTAAAGAAACTGTATACCTTTGAAGGTAACCTTAAGTTTTACTTTAGGTTCTTAGGTTGGATGGTCATCTCTCATGGATGCTTTAGTGGAGATTCCTGCATTGCAGGGGGTTGGACTAGATGACCCTGGAGGTCCCTCCCAACTCTACAGCTCTGTGATTCTGTAATAACATCTGGAAGGCACCATGTTGCCTACCCCTGGCTTTCTTGATAAATTTTACATTTTGGGAAACTATGGAAAGAGGGGAGGAAGGAAGAGGCAAGCAAAGCAATGGAAAGAGACAAGGTGGTACTTTCAAAGATATCTTGCATCTCTTATTTTTTGAAATGTACAAGAGAAAAAACAGATCCATAGTGATTACAAGTTCCCATTCTATTCAGCAAGAATTCATTCTCCTGGAACAATACCAAGAATTCTTGCATGGCCTGTGAGATACAGTCCTGTCTTCCAGAAATTTAATTAGACACGCCTCAAACCATAATCACTTTTTGGACTTGATCGGTGTTAGAACAATCAGCCTTCATTCATCTCAGTTTTCTGGGTGCTTCAGATGTACTAAGTGGATTTCAGACTGAAACTCCAGGCTGTGCACATTAATGCAGTCTGAGCCTTGAGCGCAAAGCATCCCCCAGATGTTTACAGCCAGAGCTCTGACAGCTGCGCAAAGCAGCCACTAGGTAACACTAGGCAGCTGCCTAGAGCATTGCAGTGTACACGAGTCTCATACAGATGATTTGGAAGTAAATTGTGAAACTCCTTCACCGCCTGCCTTGACAATCTCCATTGTGAAATGAGACACCCTTTCCTGACTCTTACAGGCAAATCCATTTCCCAAGCTTCCCACGCTTATTGAAAGTGGGGGCAGGGAGCAGGGGGCAGTCTCGGGATATGGGCTAGCCTGATAAAGGTACATTAGGGAATGTCCTTGACTGGGAGGCTCCGAGACCAGAGAGAAGAGACGGTGGAAGAAGATTGGAAGAAGTTTAAGGAATATTTGAAAAAATATGTTAATATTTAAATCTTAGAATAGCTTTGGAAGTGGATATAGGCTGTAGGGTTAGAAGTAGAAGATAGTGTGTTTTAAAATAGTATTATTTGTAACTGATAAAATGTGAAGATTTTTATGGTTAAAGTAAGCGTCATAAAACACGGGTGGCGCTGTGGGTAAAACCTCAGTGCCTAGGGCTTGCCGATCTCATGGTCGGTGGTTCGAATCCCCGCGGCGGGGTGCGCTCCCATCGTTCGGTCCCAGCGCCTGCCAACCTAGCAGTTCGAAAGCACCCCCGGGTGCAAGTAGATAAATAGGGACCGCTTACCAGCGGGAAGGTAAACGGCGTTCCGTGTGCTGCGCTGGCTCGCCAGATGCAGCTTGTCACGCTGGCCACGTGACCCGGAAGTCTCTGCGGACAGCGCTGGCTCCCGGCCTATAGAGTGAGATGAGTGCACAACCCTAGAGTCTGGCAAGACTGGCCCGTACGGGCAGGGGTACCTTTACCTTTACGCATCATAAAAAAAATGGCTTGAAATTATGATATATGTAAACTGCTAAAGATGAGGTAAAATGAAAATCAGATAGGGGGGACTTGGGGAAGCCCACCTAACAATGTTTAGAAAAAATAAGGATAAGACAAGAATTTGTTTGTATTGTTTGTTTTTCTGTTTGTGTTGTTTATTTGTGTTATAAAATGAATTTTAAAAAATGAAAAAAAAGAGAATAATCTATTCAAACAGGAATAAGGAATCTCAGGCCTGGAGCCAAATGTGGACCCTTGGGCATTTCTCTGTTTCTTGTCACTCCCAAGATCACTGTTCCTCTCCTCAGGCCAACAGCCCTCACCAGTGCCCACCACTGACATGTGACTACTGGAAGGTTTCCCAGAATGCAATGCGAGAAATCCCGGCTGAGAAAGTCCACCATCCCTGCATTAAGAGGAAGCATATGTTCTATCACTTCCCCTTGATTTAATGTTGATGCTTCATGTATAGGTTCCTGCAATACGCCTTTAGAAAAAGCACCTTCATTTTCACATCCACCTCAGTAGAATGTGAAATTCTTGTCACACTGTTGTGAATAGGCCTCTTTTTGTAAGTCCATGTAATCAAATATTTTTTTCATGTGCCACCAAAGTCAGCATATCGAGAGTCCAATTATTTACTGAAGGAGTTTTGGTTACTTCCCAGTTTTGTAATATGAATAGTAACTAACGTGGCCCTGTTGAACCACAATTGAGATTCTGGCTCCAGCTTCCAGTAGCCTGGGGCATGGTGTAGTATGGTGTGGTTTATTTATATACGTACTGCTCTTTGGTCCAAAGGACCCCAGAGCCATGAAGAACATCAATACATATGAAAAAAGAAATATACAATCAAAGTACAATATAATAGATTGTACTTCAGAACAGAATACAACTAAAAATGATTATCATTTGATGCTGTGCATTGGAAGCAGCAAATTGCATTCCACTTGGCTTCTTTGCAGGAGCAAGGAAATAATCAGAACCTCATTGGGGTTTCTTACCCAGCTACTTCAGTGTTAGGCTGTCCAAAGGCTGTCCTAAGTCTTCTGGCACATCCTTCATTTAGCACTGAACAATGGGTGTTGCAGAGGTTCTGCCTCTGGCTGCCCTGCCATAAATACTTGCAAGGAACTAGAGGAGGTTATATCAAGCTTGAGTGATAGGCCAAGGGACCAATAGCATGCAAACAGGCTCTTCACACAATTCTCCCATTCCCAGAGTACTGCCCCACCCAAAATACAGATGTCATTCTCACAACCACAGCTGACATTCACTGCGTAAGTAGCCCACCTCTTTGAGTCATCTATAGCAACCAAGGATGCTTTAAAAGCCTGTCTATTTAGGTAGCCTTTTCATGTTTAATATGGTTACTTGATTTAATTTGGTTTTATTAATTGCCATTCACTATTTCTCTTGTACTCTGCTCGCTTTCATTTCTTTACAAATTTTGTTAATTGCATCTTACATGGCTTGTGCTTTCTGGGGTTGGGATGTTATGAAGATGGAAGCTCACATAGGAGGGAGGGCAGTTTTATGAGGATAGGTTAAGTCAGTTGTAGAAGAGTTAAATATTAGGGGCTTCAGCCAAATAATGCAGCCGATCTGTTGATTTAAGGGTCTTCCCCCCTCCCAAGTCAAAAAGAGATATGAATACCAATCAAAGTTGGATTAGGACTTCCTTTTCTTTTCTATGTCTTATAGCTCATTGCCCCTCTATATATCTATGTTTCTCTAGGTCTGTGTGATTTGAAACAAACGAGGGTGTCCAAAATGTTTCCAGCACAGCACTGAAGAGCTCTGTATTTATTTTAAACCACAGTAGCAGATTATTTTTTTAAACGTTAAATGCTCTATTTAAAGAGTTAAACGAAAAACCCAACCCCAATTCCTACATGGCTCTGCTTTAATTTAAGAAAACCAACCAACCCAGAACTATTTAGAATTCTACAGGTAGCATTCTAGATAGGACATATAGCTTGAAGCTGTCAGAGGAAAGAAGCAAGTACTGGAAAAGCCAGTGTGAAACTGTGAAGTTTTAAAAATGTAGACGTCAGAATACACTCCACTTGCCCCTCCTTTGGGATCATGGAGGAAAGTGAATCCCTTTTACTTCCCCCATAAAAAGTTCCTGGACCTATCTGTATACAATTTGGCAGGCTTAATCCATTCTAAAGGCACTCTCGTGCCTGCAAATTTCACCCACTTTGACCAAAAGGCAAAAAAGTTATAGGAGCTTTAAGATTCACCATTATAGTGAAAAGGGAACACAGAACATCATTTTATAGAGCGACTCAGAACATGAGCTATAGGTTGTAGAGGAAGGAGCACAGAGCAAATCAGTAACAGAATGGAAGAATGGGGAAGATTAAACCTATGCACATAGCAATTAAATACACCACAGACCATTTTTGTAGAACTTGCATTGTAGTATTATAACTCAATAAAGAACCGTGAAATTTAAGAAAGGGGACATGTTTTCATACTGTTGATTAAATTCATGGCATCTAAGAAAGCGAAGAGTGCATTTTCAGCCATGCAAATAAGCAAGGGATAATTGGTTTGCTGTGTTTTCAGCAATGAATATAATAAGTGAGGCACAATTAGTTTGTTAACAATGGCTTGTTGACTTGTGGAAGCGACATTAAGGAATATTAACAATTTTGTTTCTTTCCAGCGTTCAGGTGGCTCCTTAGCAATTCCTTTGTGTGCATTTCAAGGGACCGTATCTCTCCATGCGCCTACAGGAAAAACCCTCTCTTTATCTACATATGAGGTAAGCACGGAGGGACAGAAAATAACGCCCACATCGAAGAAAATTGAAGTGTATCGCTCCAAGAGCGTGGGTCATGAGCCAAACCCTGAGGATTCTCCAACCACATTTGCTGACACGAGCGTCAAGATCCATTTAGAAGTGCTTGAAATTTGTGACAACGAAGAAGCTATGGACACAGTGTCAATCATCAGCAACATCAGCCAGTCATCAACCCAAGTCCGGTCTCCATCCTTGCGCTATTCTCGGAAAGAGAACAGATTTGTCTCGTGTGATTTAGGGGAAACGGCTTCCTATTCGCTCTTCATACCGTCAAACAATCCCAACAACGATATTAACATATCAATCCCGGACACAGTGGAAGCCCACAGGCAGAATAGTAAAAAGCAACACATGGAGAAAGAAGGTTATCAAGAGGAGATACAAATGTTAAACAAAGCATACAGAAAAAGAGAAGAAAGCGGTGCCAACAACTAAAATAAACAGTTTACTTCAGACCTGAATAATTTGGGTTTTCTGAGTCAATACATTCTGTTCTTTTTTTTCTTTTTTCTTTTTGCTTGGACATGAAATCAGAGTTAAGAATATTGCTGCGGCAATGGAAAACGTCAGCACATTTAAGATAGAAATCAAGATATAATGCAGCAAGGGTCACAATCCTGCATATCATTTAAGGAGGATTTAAGCAGGATTTAAGCAGCCTAACTGCGTGCAGAATTGTAGTTAAAGCTTTTAAAGCAGCTCTAATGGGCTACCAGGGAAGGGAGGAGATAATCTTTTTTTCTAAATTAATACTTTATTGCATTTGTTTTGGTTTTCAGTAACGAGCTACCTACCTTTGGAAATATACAGGATCTGCTTGAAGAGCTGCTTCCGACCAAAATTTTTAATCATTTATTTCAAAACTTTTTTATTATAATAAAATGTTTCAGAATAAGCTCCTCCAGGGTTCTAAATCCAGTGATGCTGAATGTTGGAAGATTGAGGACAAACACAGCACATAAACCATGGAATTCAGCAGTGATGATTGGGGATGGGGAGAAATTAAATTTAGTATGCATTTAAGGCCAAATCTATCAGATTTTCACTTTTCAGAACAAAATGAGAACTGAAACACAGCCATCCTTCAAAATTCACATTAATTTGAATTTTGCAGTGCAGTTCTCCCACCCAAGAATGTCAACAAAAATGCACATATTAAGAGGAAAATGTGCATAAAACAATACATTGGTGGAAATAATTTACAAAATTGCATTATAAGAAATTGTTTCCAAAAATGTGTACATTAGTCAAAACTGCACGCAAAAACATGCTTATTATGAGAAATTTGCACTGAAATGCTGAAAAAAATTCATAAAGATATATATATGGACCTGCAAACTGTAGCAGAAATGTGAAGAGCTGAATTTAAGACTGGGGAAAATGAGAAATTGAGAGAACCAAAACGGGCCAATTTTTCCATCCCTAGTGGTGATCACCAAATTGGATAGCTTTAAAGGGGGATTAGAAAAAAAAGACAAATAAGGATGCTAACCATAATGGCTGTGTACTACCTCCCGTGTTGGAGCAAGCATGCTTCTGAATCCCAGCTGCTGGGAATCTCTAGCTGGAAGAGTGCTTTGCACTCAGGTGGGTTTCTCATTGGCATCTGGTTGGCCACTGTGAGAATGGGATGCTGGACTACATGGGACTTTGGCCTGATCCAGTAGGTCTCTCCTTATGTTCTGTAGAAGTTCAATGCCCATTACATGGATGGCTGCATAGTTGAGAAATGAACGTGACAGGGTCCATGGGCTTGTCCCAACTCTACCCTATACCCAATACTAATCACACTGGGAAGGGGGTACACTTCTGATGATAGCTATAGTATATGATGTAAAGGAAGCAAATTTATACGTTCAGTTTAAGCTGTTTCAAAAAAACACATATAGATTGTCCAGTTGTAATGAATGTTCAACTCTAGCATGACATCAAACTGTCATTAAACCTGGGTAACCAAAATTAGAAAGGAAGATAATCCCTGACTAATCATTACCAAAGAACAAAAGTCAGAAACAATATGATGCAACATACTGCTCAGTTTGTCATTACTCACAAATTAAAATGGTAAAGAGCATCAAACATTTAAAACACACATTTGCAATCATTTCATTAACACGGTGAATTTTAAAATGTTTTCACATTTTAGATCAGTTACGAAACATCTGCATATATAAATAACAACAAATTACGTGAGGGTTTTTTTGCATCATTTGGTTTTTTTACTTCTAAACTGTTTATTAAAATTTAAGTATTCACATCTTGTAAATATGGAAACATGTATTTTGACATAATTGCTTTGTATCGTATTGCACAAGCTATCCAAAAAGCTGAGACCCTGCGTTGCAACTTTTGGTTTTGATAATTCAATACAAACACTGTCGCTTACCTGAATCACAGACTGGGCTCTCCAGCGATGACAAATCCAACACCATGCCAGTACTGCAAAACTCTTCTTATGAGTTACAATTTATATGATCGCAGGCCAAATATATGAAGTTGGAAAGTAATGTAGCCTTAAATATTTTGTAGACAGGGATGCCAAATGATTCTTCCTGTAGTTATGGGCACACCATGTTTCAGATCTCGTATGAGGAAGTCAATTCTTCATTGTACCTGTGCTGCATTACTGTAGTCACATACCAATGGGAAACTGGTTAACTAATATTAGGCCCTGACTCATATATGGGAATAACTAGTAGAACAAGTCTTGAAATTTACCAACTCTTATTTATTTCATTTAAAGTTCATTTAGAGTTGGATTCCGTTCCAAGATGGTGGCACGTTCATACGCTGCAGCTCTGAGCTCCCAATATCTTAAGGTCCATATATAGCAACACCCTAGAGGTCCCGGGCCCTGAGGAAGTTAGATTAGCCAGGGCCTTTTCAACACTGGCTCCGGCCTGGTGGAATGCTCCGTCTCATGAGACCACGTCCCTACAGGATCTGATTTCTTTCCGCAGGGACTGTAAGACAGAGTTGTTCCACCTTGACTTTGGCTTAGAATCAGTTGGAGTCCCTCCCCCTCTTTCTTTTTCCTTTCTCCTCCTATGAAGAGACTGCATCCTAATGTTTTAATGTTGTATCTTAATCTTTTAAATTGTATTTTAATCAACTTGTTTTTATTATTGGTTGTTAGCCGCCCTGAGCCCGGTCTTGGCTGGAGAGGGTGGGGTATAAATAAAAATTTATTATTATAATTAAATTCCAACTGTCTTACAAGGAGCTGGTGGAACTACTTGGTCTTTCCCCATATTTTAACCTCACAACAGCCCTGTGAGGTAGGTTTCAGCTGAGGTTTGGTTACTGGTCCAAGGTCGCCCAGTAAGCTTCAGGGCCGAGTGGGAATTTGAACCTGAGTTTCTTCAGTCCTAGATTCAGGTAGGTAGCCACGTTGGTCTGCCGCCATCAAAATAAAAAAATAAAAATTGTCCAGTAGCACCTTATAGACCAACTAAGTTTGTTCTGATATAAGCTTTCATGTGCATGCACACTTCTTCAGATACACTGAAGTCACCAGACCCTGGACAATTTTTTATTATTTTTATTCAGTCCTAGTCTGACACTCTAAGCATTACCCCACGCATCTTCTTGTGATTTAAGATTTTTGACTACTTCAGGTAACCTGTTTCCACAAGAATCCCACAAGGGCAGTGATTGCCCCCAAAAACCACATTTCATTGATTGAATCAACTATTTCTTACTCTGGTCATGCTCTTACAAAGGCAACAGAAGGGGTGCCTGAGATTCACTGGTACTCTGCTTTTAATCTGTGTTGAAGCCATCAGTCTGCCAAGGGCGGTGATTAATTTATATTTCAGACTCTATTGAGTTTCATCAATACAAAAGGGGATTTTCAACCTTTCAAATTATTAATTCGGAACTCCAATCTTGGTTCGTCATGTGTTTTTGCAACTTGGAAGTCCATGACTGCAGATTGTATTCTTATGGTGTATGGAGAACAGGGTGGAAGTGAGGGGGATCCCTCCTTTTAAATTGCTAGAACAGAGGTGAGGAACTGCAGCCCAGAAGTGAAATGCAACTTGCAGAAGTTGACTTAGAGCTCTCAAAATGCTTATGACAGGCTTGTTATACTTTCTCACTCCAACTTCTCCAAGGGTCATGGAGAATTCCTTGATGAAATAAGCTGAGAGTACTTTTTAAAGGTAATGGTACAAAGCAGGAGATTCTCGCACAGGACACCTGTGGATGTACCAAAGAAAACATTTTTATAGCTGGAATCAGTATGTGGTGGGGTGCAGATCTGCCCAGAGATGTTCTGCTAGAAATAAGGTATTTTTTTACTTTGCTTTTGTCAGTGTTTTTGTTCCCAAGCAGGGAGCTCCTAATTTGAATTACAAATTGTAACTAAGCAAAAATATTTTGGAACTGTGAACTAGCAACAAGACGGTGAAGGGAATATTATAGGCCAAAGTTGTTAGAAATAGTAAAAACCATCCTGGCTTTTAGAATCCTGTTCAACTGGGTGTCTTTTCTTTTAAGAGAGTTCAATATTTTGTGTAGGAAACAATTTTACAGATGATATTTTAACGCTGGTTAGTTGTGTTTATTTTGGGTTAGACATTAGATGCATTAAAATATAGCATAAAGTGGTCCTCAGCTCAACCTGATTGTAAAGTAATGTATTGCTGTTGTATGATAGAAAGTGAATAAATTTCCTTGTACAGTACAGCAATTCCGTAAACTGAGCTCTGTTCGGTGTCTGATCTGTGTTTTTTTCTGAATTTATGGTAATATTTTGCATGTGTTCATTCATAACGCAGTTCCATCCCATGTCCACATTAATCTGTGAATTAAAACAAACCCAAATTCATATGAAAATTTGAATCAAAATACAAATTTTCCTGCTGATTTAAACAGGGGTGATATTCAAGTAAGTCTTACTCAGGGTAGGCCCACTGAAATCTGTGGCTGGTATTCAATGCTAGTCCTACTCTGAGCGGACTCACTGTTGTTAATGAACATAACTAAGGTTGATTCATTTCACTGGGTATACTCTGAGCAGGGCTTCTTTGAATACAATCCATGGGACTCAAATACATTGGGTACAATGAGTCTACTTGGAGTATGATGGTTTGGATATTGCCCTATGCATTTTGCAATAAACTGTGTGTGCATTTAAATATCTATTTAAAAACTTACTTTATAATTTTATATATATGTGTGTGTGTATATATATATATATATATATGCAGGTTTTGGTGTCCTCGGGTGTCTTCCCGTGTAAAAGTTGGGGTGTCTAGGCGACGTTTCGACGAGGTCTCACTCGTCATCTTCAGGCTGGTGCTTTCGGCTTCTTGTTACTGGAACAGAGCAGGATCTCAGTGTTTGAGTTCCTATAAATACTGTTGAGGGGGTGTGGTGTATAGCCTCCAATGTTCTGGGCAGAGAGGAAGTTCCCAGGTTAGTGTGCCTTTTCTTCTTTTGTTCCTTAATTACTTGAGGGATATCTTGAGTGATTTCTTGAGTGATTTTTTTCACTCAAGAAATCACTCAAGATATCCCTCAAGTAATTAAGGAACAAAAGAAGAAAAGGCACACTAACCTGGGAACTTCCTCTCTGCCCAGAACATTGGAGGCTATACACCACACCCCCTCAACAGTATTTATAGGAACTCAAACACTGAGATCCTGCTCTGTTCCAGTAACAAGAAGCCGAAAGCACCAGCCTGAAGATGACGAGTGAGACCTCGTCGAAACGTCGCCTAGACACCCCAACTTTTACACGGGAAGACACCCGAGGACACCAAAACCTGCATTCCTGTACCCGTGAAAATCTATGAAAGCAAATATATATATATATATATATGAATTTTATCTCAATGCACCCATTTCTAAACCCATTTTTTCCTCATAAAATACACATTTTAAACAAATTTTGGTATATTCTTGGAGTGAAGAACTGTGTTGCAAAAACTGAAGAAGCGTAAAATCCAAATAATTAAGTTTAGACCTGCACACTAGCCCAGGAGGTGCAGATCAAATCAGTTCAGCTCAGAACCCATGGAAACTGAATTTCTCAGGCATCCCTAAGTGTAAACAACCACATCCCATTTATTTGTCAGTCAAAAGCTACTTGCTCTGTGCGCAAGGAGACACAGTTCCTCTTCCTTCCTCTGGTTCATGCATTAGTGAACACTGGAAATGGGACATTGCTTATCATTTTTAGAAGCCCTCTTGGATTTAAATTTTTAAAAACCTTTTAAATATCTAATGAGAAATGATTTCATCCTTTCCCTCTTTGAATCCCCTCACCCCCTTTTCTTTTCCTGTGACCTTTAATGTACACCAGAACACAGGCCTGACATTTGCAGGCAAAAGGATGTGTTGTCAAAGTGACCTTTTTTTGAAGGTGACTTCAAAGAGATGTGCTCCAGCCAGCCCTTTGCAGGGAAGCAGAAAAAGCTTGGGAATATATGGAAAGCAGATGCAACTTACACCCAAGCTTACCGGGTGGCTTCAGACTACTGAATAATGCATTTCACATCACACTGAAAACTGGGAAGCTCAGTATTGAGAACATTCTCAGCTAAATTAGTCAGATTTCTGCCATCACCCCAGAGATCAATTCCTATTTAGTTGGAAAGTGGACCTTAGCAGAACATCAACTCTCTGCTGCTCTGAGCATTAGGAAACTGAACTTCCTTTGGAAAGCTGAACTCCACTGCTGGTAGAGGCTGACAACTCATTGATGGATTTGAGTTTCAAGGTTAGGGTCAAAGGTCAGCATGGCTGAGCATCTGTCAAGGGTTCACACCCCAAAAGAAGGGCCACCAGTAAGTGCCCTTGGAGCTGTTCCTCTACACCATTGTAACCTGCTTGCTTGTTCACCCACCTCTCAGGCCACTCTGCACTATACATTTAAAGCAGTATCCTACCACTTTAACGAACTGCGGGTGGCGCTGTGGGTTAAAGCCTCAGCGCCTAGGGCTTGCCGATCGAAAGGTCGGCGGTTCGAATCCCCGCGGCGGGGTGCGCTCCCGCCGTTCGGTCCCAGCGCCTGCCAACCTAGCAGTTCGAAAGCACCTTCGGGTGCCACTAGATAAATAGGGACCGCTTACTAGCGGGAAGGTAAACGGCGTTTCCGTGTGCGGCTCTGGCTCGCCAGAGCAGCGATGTCACGCTGGCCACGTGACCCGGAAGTGTCTGCGGACAGCGCTGGCTCCCGGCCTATAGAGTGAGATGAGCGCACAACCCTAGAGTCTGGCAAGACTGGCCCGTACGGGCAGGGGTACCTTTACCTTTACCTTACCACTTTAAACGGTCATGGCTTCCCCCAATGAATCCTGGGGGCTGCAGTTCGTTTAGGATGCCGACAGTTGTTAGCAGACCCCTATTCCCCTCACAATTCCCAGAGTTCCACGGGTAGACAGATTGTTAAACCAGTCCAAAAACTGTAGCTCTGTGAGGTGGGACGCGGGTGGCACTGTGGGTTAAACCACAGAGCCTAGGACATGCCGATCAGAAGGTCGGCGGTTTGAATCCCCGCGAAAGGGTGAGCTCCCGTTGCTCGGTCCCTGCTCCTGCCAACCTAGCAGTTCGAAAGCACCTCAAAGTGCAAGTAGATAAATAGGTACCGCTCCGGTGGGAAGGTAAACGGCATTTCCGTGCGCTGCTCTGGTTTGCCAGAAGTGGCTTAGTCATGCTGGCCACATGACCTGGAAGCTGTATGCCAGCTCCCTCAGCCAATAAAGCGAGATGAGCGCCGCAACCCCAGAGTCAGTCATGACTGGACCAAATGGTCAGGGATCCCTTTACCTTTTACCTTATTCCCTTAATAGCACCCTTAACACACAACTGTTTGAAATATATAGTACAGATGGGGCTTCCTCTGGCCCAGACAAGTTAGAGAAACAATATTGCCATAATCATATAAAGTATTACACAGGGCTTTTTTCTGCTAAAACTCACCGGAACTCAGTTCCGGCACCTCTTAGGTGGGCACCATTGCCGTTATAAGAGAACAAGGGAGGCAGAGAGCCTTCTCGGTAGTGC